ATATACTGGTCGAGAATTTAATAGTCCTGACGCAAAAAAGACTGAAATCAGAAGACCACTAGGTTTGCGATGATACTTCTATTTTCCAAACACAAGGAGAATCAAATGTATCACACAAGAGTGTGAGAGCAAAATATATATGAATGTCCAAACAAGTGTGAACAATCAATAGACAGTCTTAACATGATTGGCTAATTATAATGGAGTATCGATCCATATATACATAGCAAAATATAGCAGACATGTCAACAAACACACATATTATATGGATATATATCACCAAGGACAAACTGTCAACAAACATACATATTATATATACTATAAAAGGAATATACATTGTTAAAGGAGACAGGTTCATCAAAGTGAAATGGTCACAGACTAAAAGAGCAACAGAAAGAGAGACCACCATATATATATATATATATATATATGGATACATCTCACAACAGTTTACGTCCCGAATCAGGGTCATGAGAAAAAAACAATAACAAAGCTTAACCTTGAGGAACTCTTTAACCAGTCATAGCAAACTTAACGTGTGCAAATACGATTCGCAGATATATGGCTTAACTTTCTAAGAAACGGTCACAAGCAGCACAACCAATCAGAAGACGTTGCTTCTCCTCTGTAAATAATGTATATAACAATCTATAAATATCTTCTGATTTTCTCAGTAAACGATCTGTTTCTTGATCCTTGTCTTCTGTCGTTACAAAAGCACCGAAAAAATTGATAACAGTGTATTTCGTTGACTACGAATATGACACTGACGCTGTCAAGTCATTCACTGCTGTCGACAGACAAACAGTCAGAAAGATACTTATACTTGAGGAACCTTGTGCAATCAAAATTTAAGAGCTTAGTCTCTGTATGCGAAATAAAATGGTGATCACTTTGAATTTACAACGGTCATACCTTTTACTTGTTAACTATTATAATTATTATCATTATTGTCTTTTTCCATCTTCTATTATTATTCTTAACTCATTCAATATTATTACTGTTATTCAGTTTGCAATCTCTGAAATTTTCTGGTTCTTTCTCTGATTACTAATCGTTTTCTTATAGTGGTGCAACTGAACCATAATCCATAATAATCTTAGTTTTATTCTCTCATACCTCTTCTCCCTCTTATATTGTCTGAAAATGACATGTGGACCATTTAAACCTGTCGTTTTACATGACTGATTCATTGTAGTCCATTTACTTAGCAGTGCCATACCCCCCACGGTATTTCTGATAGTACATATAAATGAATGTATGTAGAGTATGCAGACGAAAAGTTTTACAGAAATTTGATGAATTCTTAAGGTACTGTTTTATCAATATTTTGTTGCTTGTTTTATATTATGTTTTAGAAGGAATAATTCCCTAACATCTGCAAACATATAAAATACAAAATGCCCACTGACTGATACCAGTTAGAGAACCATTCAAAACCAGAGAGTATTGGACAACTGTTTCGTCTTAGCTTAGGACTCGCCGACAGTAACCACCTAACAGAGTTCGAAGCCAGTAGCTTCTAGTTACAAGGCAACCACATAAACCATTCAGGCACTGACAGCTGACTCAATAGCCCATGAATTCTAACTTCTAACAGTCGGTAATTTTAACGCGAATACCAGTCAATGCCAGTTTCATTAGCCAATCATTCATTTCGCTGTTAAACGGAAGTCTGCTTTAAGTAGAATAAATTTTTATTCCTTTAAGTTACCAGTGGAACATACGGCTTCAAGCTAGAGACTTGAAGTTTCCGTAGCAGTGGTGTTTATTTTTACGGAATGGGGTTGCTAGCCTCACACCCAACCTTCCCACTTTACCAGTGTTCTAACAAGGATATTGAATAGTGAATGGACGTTTTTTTTCGAAGTGAAGTAAAAGAGAAGGTGTTTACTTGTTTGTTTGTTTGCTTCAGTCATCTAATTAAAGTCGGTTAACTGAATTGACTCACCGATTGACTGGCTGACTAACTAACTGATTGACAGATTGTTTGTATGACTAATATTTTCTAATCTTAAACAGTAATCTTTTTACATGGAAATATTTTAATTGGAATTTTAAGGAAAATACTTCATCCAGATGCATAGATTAACGCATGACTGACATACTACTACTACTACTATTATGTATGTCACAGGGAATTTGTGCACTATTTATCACACTCAGCCTATAGATTGTTTCAAAATAACAATAATAATAATAATCATAAATGTGTGTGAATAGTTTTCAACAATGCATATATGCACTCCACCTTAATGTAATACTGTCGGTATTTATGATGCATAGTCTAGTTTATTGACTTTTAGACGACAGAATGCACGTGTATGGAAACTGGAGTGTGTGTGTGTGTGTGTACACTTTAATGAAAGACTGACAGGAGTCATTATTCTTGTTTGACACCTTAGTTTTTAAATTTATAAACAAAAAATCCGTTTACTTTATTTTCCTTATGATACAATTCTAATATACTACTGATTTACACTAGTGAAATAAAGACATTGAAAAGAAAGAGAAATAAGCATTCGAAAGAGCCATTTAAAAGACTAATTTCGCGTGATGATGGCATCAAATAAAGGCATAATTATTATTTCAATAATTTACACACAATGAAAAGTTTTGTTATTGGTAATATTTCGAGCAAAATTACTGCCGATTTCCCAACACTGTTGGACACAGGAAGTAATTTTGCTCGAAATATTACCAATAACAAAACTTATCATTGTGTGTAAATTATTGAAATATAATTATGCCTTTATTTGATCTATTCCACAATGCTCAAACTTTTTACCGATATTAATGATGGCATCATTTTGTAGTTTCTTTACAACCACTTTACAACTAACATGGTTAACAATAATTACATCAGAGACATCATTTTAATATGTACAGAAAATATTAGATTCACCTTAATTAGATTCACATAATGTTATTGTTAATTCATTTCCTATCTGTCCTTCGTTATTTTTTCTTTTGTTTTAACTTTAAGCTACTTACCAATAGAAAGTAATAAAATTAATGGTAAAGCTTTATTTAAGACAGTATGCGAATATACGGTACAAAATTTTTAGCGTATTCAACTCCAAAGTACTTTTTTCCTAACACAGGATTCACATGTAAATTAATAATCTGAAATATATCTTCATTTCGTTGAAGAATTGTACAGTGTTTACTTGGGAGCAAGTTGAATCATCGCGCAAGTTTATGTATAGGTCATTTGATATAACTTGGCGATTAAAACAATGATAAATCCAGATGAAATTAAGCATTTTGGAGGAGAGTAATTTCGATAGCCCAATGGTTTAAGCAAGCCGCCTTTTATGATTGTTACTTCTTAATTATGATTTTTTAATTGGAGTTTAACTCAATTAATGTGTCGAATTCTTCATAACATAAAATCGCCAAATGGATTACAGAGGTCCTTACGCCAGTTAGAGACTCATTATCAAATCACTCTGCAAAAAGTTCATTCGATCTGACAGATATGCTAGACACCTTGAACATTAAGGAAAAGGTTATGTGTTCAATTGCCATAGAATCTTTATTCACAAGTATTCCTCTTCATGAAACTGTTGATTTCATATGCGATTACAACACAAGCAATGGGATAAAATTACCTATTCCTGTCACTTATGTCAAAGACATCATCTTAATATGTACAGAAAATATTAGATTCACCTTTCAAGAAAAGGTCATACAAAAAAATCGATGGTGTTACGATGGGGAGCCCTCTTGGAACCCTGTTAGCAGATATATTCATGTCGAAATTGGAGAAAGAAATACAAGGCATTCTTGGAGAATCTGTGCTATATAAACGTTATGTGGATGATACACTCATTACTGGTAATAACAGTAAATCTATTAAAAACTTTATTACTCTATTTAATCATATTCATCCACAGTGGTTAGGACTCTCACCGACCATGCACATGGTTCGAGGTTCGATCCCCTACCGACGCACACCTGATATCTATGGTCGGCCTACAAAATTTGCGCTACCAATATCCATGCTGAAAATTCCATACTTGTACCAAAAATGCTGTGTGGAATCAAGCTGTAATCAAAAATAAATAAAATGTTCGAGTGACTTACGAACTCGAATTGAATAACAAATTTAATCACAACCATTTTAATTGCATTTCATACTATATGTTCAAACCAAGTTAACTTTTGACAGTTTGAAAAAATTTGGGCATTGGGTATATGATATTCATTATAATGAAGGTTTTCGTGTACTTCCCAATGAATGAAAACCTTTATTATAATGCATTTCGTACTAGTATTATTATTATTATTATTTTATGTACTCAAACCTATTATTCACTTCTCTCGCTGGATATAATTCCTTAGAAAACCATATATATATATATATATATATATATATATATATTGTACAGCTTGATAATAAATTCGTTGAAAAGAGTCTCTTCTCTGAATCACTTGTTTCTATTTTCTGTGTCTCTCAAGTGGGAATTCTCCGAGACGTAAGTAATTCTCAATTATCTTGAAAGTTGTCGACTTCCATAGATTTTCTCCTGTGTGGCTTCTTTTCCTCAGTAAGCTATCAATGCTTTTTGGCTGATGTTCTTCGACTAATTATTATTGAATTACTCTTTGCATTTCAGTGACTAAATGCTTTTAACCATGATATATGAATACTATTCCATGGTTAACTGATATTTTAAAAACTAAAAGTTGATTTCTTTATGAAAAGAAATCAGCCGGTATACCATCAAACAACTAAGAAGCTCTAGACTTCCGTCTATTCCATGTTGGCGATTTCTTGAAGGTATATATATTCATGGTCTTATAGTACTGAATGTCAGAACTACCAGGACCAAATAATCACCCAATACGTCTTCTTTTTCAGTTCTTTTTCAACTGAATTCAGTTTGCATCAAAAATTCACGCTCAGATCACTCAGTCTACTCCACCCTCAATTATTACTTTAAGAGAACAGAGTAATTATTGAAATGTTTTTTTTATTTTCTTCCGTTTTGCAGAACCTCCTCGTATACAACCGAATCCAGTAGTTCATGCTCATTTAGGCCAACCAGCAAGATTACGTTGCACAGTGAATTCAGTTCCACTTCCACCTTCTGGTCAAACAAATTGGTATTTTAATGGAAATCCAATCCAACCAGATTCACAGTAAGTATACTGATTGGAAATTTATTTTTTATAAGCTGAAAGTGTATATTCACTACGGGAAGGTGCAACGTTAGACTTTAAGCACCACTGACTACCAATCAGTGAACGACCTTCAACGAACCACTCACATAAAAGAGGCATTTTTGGCTATGGAAAACATATATTTATAAATAAAATGCATAGAACTGTTACATAGGGTGTCTTTCTTTGACATGAGATAGATAGATACCTCCCACTTTAGCATAGGAGTATCAATGGAGAAGTTACACCACATTCTGTACATATGTTCATCCAACTGACTATAAATGACATCTTTTGAGATCTGTTTATAGCCTTAACCCTGTTTTTCAATCTTCCCCAAAAGCTTTCTATGGAATTGGTGTGTGTCCTTGTAATGCGATCCACAAAATGATTAGAATAGTTCACTCTGTGATGAATATATCCAAGGGATGACACCAAAGTTATAACCTTTCTACCCATCAGTATGTACTATGGATCCCTTTTTCACCAATAGAGTGACAATAGGTACTAAGGTAATAGACTTTCTGCCTGGTATTTTCTCCGCTAATCCTTTCCGCAGGGAGGTGTCAGATAAACTGATAATCCAAACATTGTTGGCCCACTCTTCAATAAGACAGTTTCATCCACGTGTACGACGATACCTTCCCCGCCTAACAACGAAGTCATTTTCTTCATTTTCCATGAGGCGATATCTCTGCAATGCTCTTACCATTGAACTATTGGTACGAGGCTATTTTCAGTTTCAGCAGCTGAACCTCTCACAGGCTATTTTAAAACCCAGTAATTGAAAATATTCAGATGGGACCTGGCAAAAAATGTTCCTACTAAATATTAGAATCATCAGCTTTCCTTCCCCCACACTAACTCGTCTCAGATAAAATGCACAACGATGGACATATCCATCAATCGACCTGTTTAAGGTTTATATCCTCAGGAGACCTCCACATGTACAAATCCTTTCCTTACTAAGCAATTCCACATTCAAACGAAACTGGGAAACCTTATCCTCACCAAACTGAAAGCGCAACTGATTTGGAGCTTTGATAATAATATTCATGATTCAAGTATTTTTCTAAACTCATTTATTCCATTAAGCCTGAAAGTAAATTGTTTACAGACCCACTTAAATCTGTCACCCTTGCAAGAATAGTCAGTTTCATAGCGAATCATAATCTCTACAATAAGTTGTAACTGTTGTTAAAATATGATAGTTAGTAGTAGACCAGTAGAGTACAGCAGGTCGAAGATGAGGCAGTAACTCATTGAAGAAGACATTGTGAAGTGGTCGCGCTATGTCGTGAATTGGCAGAAGTTAGAATTCAAGAACCATTGGATCGAGTCCCAGTGGCTCAATGGTCTACGAGCTCGCCTTGTAACCAGAAAGTCCTGGGTTCGAACCCCGGTGGATGCGTACTGATGAGGAGTCCCAAACTAGGATGAAACAGCTGTTCAGTACTCCCAGGTTTTCCAGTGGTCCTCTAACTTATGTCAGCTCATGATTAAATCCTCCATGCAATCAAAGAAAATCCCTACAAAACCAATACTTGAAAAATATGATATATCTACATTGAGATTTTATCAATCATAGAAAATGAAATCATTTAAAAAAATACCTTTGAAAATAAACTACTACTTGATTTATACAAGGAGTTGGAGATATATATCGGGACTGAAACGATGTAAAGCCTTGTATACACATACATGATTCAAAACAACAATTACGATAGTCTCGTAATTATGATAATTAAAATTGAGTTGCGAAGTATGAAGTGTTAAATACTAACTTGAAAGTAAAAGAATGTTTGACTCTGTGTGATTATTCTACTCCTAGGGAGTTTCAAACTAAATTCAAAATAATATCATAGTACTTCTTTCCTTCCAGTGAATTTCTATGCGATGTCATTACTTGAACTTCATATCTGAATTATTCACGATATAAATTATATGGTAGATTTACACTACTAATAAGTAGTCAATTGGATTTATACAAATTATCGCAATCTGGAGAGGCAGATGAATGCACTTAGATTATTGACAAAATTTTTAGTGAACAAAAGTCAATCTGAGATTGTTGTGTTCACCAAATTTAGCAGTTTGTCCTGAAATAATACCTAAAATGATGATAACAGATTCACTATCAAGCTGTTTGGTTCAGAGGCTGTAAAATTGCCTACCAGTCGTCATTATGTTATCCTACATTATTCACATATAAGAGTAACACAGAAAAGTTTGAAAGGTGTACTCTTGAAAGAGTTGTCAGCACCTTTTTTCAAATAGTAATGTCCTTCAAAGTTACATAGGCCTTATAATTAGGCGTGTTTATCGTCCGATTTCCGGGCATCACGCTGCGTCGTTAGGTAAACGACAAACAAAATCCATTCAGTTCTATTATATCACACCTTGTTGCTAAAGAATATAAAGAGAATATAAAGAGGCTTTCAAAGTCATCTACCATTTACCAACTAATCTTAACTTCACCCTAAGAGTTCGCCTACTACATTGTGATGACGCTGTTGGGATCCACATTAGGAAACCTAACTTATGTATTCAAAAGAACCTGGTTCAGACACTACCCTTACTTTGGCCATCAAGGTTCTAATGATCCTCAATTTGTTTTGGAAATTTCCTTAATTTTATTTGCTATTCTATTGGTAACTATATTTGTGTGCTTATTATAAGTTGTGCGTCTTTAGTGAACCGTAATTCCATTAATCTTACTAAAACATCAATATTATATTTTTTTTCAAACACCAATATTGTTAATGTCGATTATCCTAGGATATTATATGCATTTAAACATATATAGATGTATATATAATTGTAGAGTCAGAAGTGGAATTTGTCGACAAGGATACTGTTTGCTCAACTTTTAGTCTATAGGTCATTGTTTAACCTCCTTTTGGTTTTCACTTCAGAGTCAAAGGTCTACAAACACCCATTTCTGTTTGAAGAAAATTCTTATAAGACTTGTAAGATGACTCTTAAGAGACTCCGTCATAATTTGACTTCACGACTCGATAGCATCGAATTACTTATTGTAAACCGAAGGGAATTGTTCTTTGTTTTATCCTGCTTAAGGACTCTAATATTAAGTTAGTGTTGAATTCGATTGGGTAAACACGTGGATATTAACGATACTGAAATGCAACAGATAACTCATTTGCTACCTGAACACGACTTTTCCCCCTCAAATACCTTCTGCTGCACTGAGTCACGAAAATACCAGAAGACGAAGACTGACCTGTGTGGACAAATTTATTTTAAAAAAAATACACATCACCTCCAGTACACATAAAATTACACTAGTTCACTGGCTGAATAAAATAAACTGGTTTATTGCATAGAGTCAGATTTTGCCAAATAAAAATAGTATGTTTGATTGGAGGATTTCATTATAAGCTGACATCAGTTAGAGAACCACTGGAAAACCTGGGAGTACTGGATGACCGTTTCGTTCTAGTTTGGGACTCTTCACAGTACGCACCCACCAGGAGGCCCTGATGCTCGAACCCCGGTGTATGCGTACTGTTGAAGAATCCTAAACTAAGACAAAACAGATGTTCAGTACTCGCTGGGGTTTTTTCAATAATTCTCTAACTGATGTGAACTCATGATGAAATCTCCCAACCAATTAAACCACAAATCCCTACATAACCAATACTTGAAAATTAGTATGCCCTTGTAACAAAATAAATCTAAGATTGAGACACAAAATCGTGTACCTGAGAAACCAATGGTATAAAACGTCTATTCTACTTTTAACTGCTTCTAATCAATTGGGCCTTATTCTATTATGCAGCTCGAGTATCACTCAGAGTTATTGGTAAGTATCTGAACTCGCAACAAACTGGAAGTACTTCTCTTTACAAGCCTCCAGTAAGGACTGAATAGTGATTTAAAGGTTAATCTGATTAGGTCAGCAGGTTTAAAGCTATTCTCAGTCAGTGCCGATTCAGTCAATCAACAGAAGTTTAGGAGCAAGAGTTATTAGTTACGTACATATATAGGTTTGGTTCCAGTTAATTTCACTATTATTATATTATTATTTATTCCTTTACGTTCTCAGTGGAATATAGGGTTTCAAGCTAGAGGCTTGAAGCTTCGGTAGCAGTAGTGAACATTTTTACAGGATGGGGTTGCTAGCCTCATGCCCAACCTTCCTCTTTACCAGTAGTCATACTACTGGCCCGGCGAGATAAAGGAATTTGTCAACTGGGGATCGAACCCCGGACTACCTGCATGGTCGGCGAGCACCCTAACGCTGTGCCACTGACGCATGATTAATTCCACTGATACTCATTATTTTCTAGGCACTTAATCTTAACTTGATAATTATTTCAATCATACTGAATTCTATGCTCTTTTTCTCCTTCTTTAAACAGCCATAAATTTGAACAAGAAGAATTTATTGGTGGGGTAGTACTTGTACTGCATATAGCCCATGTCATGATGAGTGATTTTGGTCAATACAATTGCTCCGTGAGTAATGATTATGGATCTGACTGGAAAATTATACGACTTAATCATCAAGGTGTGTTAAACTTTTAAACGAACAATATATAGTTTATACATGCATTGAGATATTGTCATCGGATATAATATCTAATTTCACCTTTTTTAATGATATTCTTCATTATCCTAATGATGAATATAGTTCATTTAAAAACTGTATATACCTCTGAAAAGATACGAATTCTCAAGTTTCTTGTTAAATCAGTAGAAACTAATAAATATGAGATAATCTATTTAGTAATTGTTGTCATGACAACCTAATTGTCAGAAAAGCTATTAACTTCTTAACTGAGATAGTAGTCATTAAGGCAGTCAAATCCCGTTTGATGTAAATTGTTTGCTTAGGAATAATTAGTATGCAGAATGACTTCGACTCTCATCTTGGCAGGAAATAAGATTCAATAGAATAATTATTGAATGCTTATTTAGTTCTAGTTTTCAACTAATGAGTCATGAGAAGCAAAAAACCCCCCAAAAAAATTAGATCTAAGATAACTGAGTGTTGTGATAGCCAACTTCCAATTCAATGCGCCGGTGGCACAGTGGTTAGGACACTCGCCAACCATGCACATGGTCCGGGGTTCGAGCACATGCCGGCCCACACCTGATATCTATGGTTGGCCTGCAAAATTTGGGCTACCGATATCCATGCTGAAAATTCCATACTTGTACCGAAAATACAGTGTGGAATCAAGCTGTAAATCAAAAGAAAATCATTAAATGGCCAGAATGGATTATCAGCAAAGAAGTCGGGGGAAAAATCTATCAAAAACCTACTACCCGACAAATATGCAAAAGAAAACAGAGATGAATACACATTGAGGAGACTGCTAAGAGACAACACGCTCTGGGCTGTCTAGTAGAACCTGATTGGAAAACGACGAATCGAGTGTCTGGGGTTAATGTGGAGGAGAAGATAAGAGTCTATAGGTGAAAGCATATGGGCAGACTTGGAGCGGGCTGAAAAAGTTGGCAGAAAACCGAAGGCAGTTGAGACGCGTGGCTGAAGCCCTATGTTCCTCTAGGAATTAAAGGATATAATAATAATAATAATAGGTGATCGTTGGATCAGCTAAACAGGATTGTACAGGACAGGACTGAATGGAGATGTGCTATCCAAGCCCTGTATTTTATTTGGAACCCAAGGAATTAATAATTATAGTAATAATTAGGATTCACTAATCTGAAAAATATGATGTATTTGCGCTATACATTTTGAACAATCTGATCACACATTTACTTGTCAAGTCGATCTATATGGAAAAGTTAAATTAAACAAAGTGACAAAAAAGAATTCAGAATAATTAACACAAACGTTTGGTAATCCAATCAAAAACGGATTACCCAGGTAGGTTAAGAGTAATAACAAACTGTTTTTTGAATACACAAGGGGGCTTAAGTTTATGAATAGCTATATTCTCAGTATATTTCAGTAAGCGCCCTTGACCGTTTTTATAGATGACCTTAAAGGCTGAGTTAACATCAATCTTATGATTCACCTCGATTAGATGTTTAGCTATCGACGAAGTTGGCAGTCTGACACCTGCATCTATTGGTTTTTCACAATTCATTTGTTTTTCTAACCATTTTGGGATATGCTCTCTCTAAACCTACAATCCATACCGCCCCTAAGAAAAAGGTTTTCATCAAATTACGAAATAACGGGAAAATAAACAATGGGATTTTGAGACAAAGGTTGAATTCGATCATCCGTAGAACCTACTATGCAGCCCAGCTTGTAATTGTGGAAAAAGTTAAAAATATGCTCCACTGCAAACCTCAAAATTGCACAAGTGATTATGTCACATCCCACACTATTTACAAATTTTCGTGTGTGTGCGTGTGGATACACATACATAGGAAGGAGTAATCGCGCTTTGCATGTGAGGGTGGGAGGAGATGAAATAGTTAATTTCATTTTCAAGAGCAATTCACTGACAGAATATAATAGTTGTTTCCATCAAGAACGTTTAGATTTATTTTAGACAGGTCTTAAATTTGTGAGATTGGGTTGGAATAATCAGACATGGCATGATTTCCTAGAAATATTATTTACTCAATACTAATCCACCTTTCGACTTATTTAACAGTCTGAGTGGTTAGAAATTTGTCTCTTAAAAACTTAGCTGTTTCATGACGCTAAAATAGACAAAACTATTGTGTCATCCAACATAATAATATTTTCAAGTATAGGTTTTGTCTGGTTGGTTGGAGGATTTCATCATGAGCTGACATCAGTTAGAGAGCCATTGGGAAACACACATGGGAGTACTGGGCAGCTGTTTCATCCTGGTTTAGGGCTCTCATCCACCGCCAGGGTTCGAACCCACAACCTTCTGGTTATAAGGCAAGCCACTGGGACCCGATCCAGTGGTCCATGAATAGTATAACATATATAATATTTTCAATATATACATATATATTATAATAATATTGTTCCCATTACAGAAGATATCCCAGTTCAATTTATTATTGGTGCAGCGGTCACCATTGGTATCCTGTTGATAGTGGGATTAATTTTACTCTGTATATGTCGTCAGAGAGTATGTGGTTTCCGATATAATAAAGGTAAGTGGACATCACGTCACAATGAACCATACTCATCATAACGATATCAACGTATTCAGTTAAAATGCAATTCTCTTTTAACCATTGTTTATTATCATCAATCATATATGCGATTTAATAAGATTCTGAAATTTATTGACTATTCAACATATTTTCAAAAAATGGTTACTGAACAAAGAGTACTCTTTTCGATAACTCCATCATCAGGCTCTACAGTTATGTATACATTATAGTCAATGAATGAATTAGTGCTATTATTAACAACACTAATAAATCTACCAATTCAAATGCGTTTGTGGAATGAGTTATATCGGCCGTTTCTCTAGGAACTTGATTTTTCGTGCTCGATTGGGAACATCTACCAGTATGGCCAAGTAAAGGTGTAGTAAAAACGATCAACAATTTGATATTATACCATCTGATCGAAACAGGCCGGCCACAAAGCCAGCCATCATTGGAGAATCCTTCTCTATCATCTACCAGGTACTAAATAAACTGCCAGAAACACAGAGGCACCTCATGCTTCAAAGAGCTGATGTTATCGCGACTCGCGTGAAACAACCACTACTTTGTCTGCAAGTCCAGCCACTGTCCTGGCCTTCAGTAGAGACTATAAATTCATGAATTTGTATTATTATCTTTCCTAATTTTTCTGACATTCAGTTTATTGTTTTGCAGATGCTACTGAACTGTAATCCATTGGTGTTATTATTGATTCGATTTTATTTAAACAACATCAATATTGTTAATAACACTAATCCATTCACTGTTATGTATACTTAAATGTAGAACCTGATGAAGAGCGGGTTATTGAAAAGAATATTCTTTGTTCAGTAACCATTCTTTTGAAAATTTTAATAGGCATTTTTAATCGGTGAAAATATTAAATTTGTATAGTGTATTTCTGACGATATATGAAGCAACAGGTATTTGTTATATGAAAGTTGATTAGATATAGGCATCATTTGCATTTCACAAATTACCGAAACACTCTATGCTGTTAACACGTGTCAGCGTTTCACTAGATAGCTGAGGTATATCAAATCCAACCTATACTCGAATTAAAGGATTTTTAAAATGGTCTGTTTAATTGGATTAGTTGCAGTCTACAACAGTCTAAACCGTGTCGCTCTTTGTGACAGTGTTATCTAGGCTGGGATTAACTGTCTACCGGAGACCGATTATGTGTACCAAACTTAATACAAATCAAATCCCTACACACAAGCTCTTGAAAATTAATCCGATGCCCCTTAGTAATTAGCTATAGGAAGAGGTTGTCTGGAATTCTAATGAGCAGTATTGACCAGTGGGCTCCACACGTTCAGGTGTGAGCACAAATATTCGCCGATGACATTTGTTGGTGGTGGTTGAAGTCGCAATTCACGAGTCACCGAATCCCTACCCAAGTGGCTAAATGATTGACAAGCTTAATCTTATAACATGAAGATCCTGGGTTCGATCTCTGGTGGGTTTTCACCGACGAAGAGTCTCAAATTGAGACGAAACAGTTGTCCACTACTCCCCAGTTTTCACTGGTTCTCTGAATATATCAATCGCTGATCAAACTTGAAGCAAATCAAATTACTCTTTAAATCTTACTTGACTCACTAGGAATGATGACGCTCATAAAATTGTGCCTAACCAAAATATCTGGATTTTGCATACTTTCGCAAAAGTCTTAAAAGTATTACAGCCTTCTTGTAAAAAATAACACCTGATTGACCTTCTAAATAATTAGGTTGCCATGATTTCTGATGTGCAACAGGGGTGAACTTCCAGATACTAAGTATTTAACTACTTCACACCGATAAACAACGTGAGTTTCAACACGAAGGTGATTGTTTTCACCTATTATAGATAATTTTGTAGGAACTCTACTAAACTAGACGTTTCGTCTGATTTCTTATAAAATAACATCTCTTCATGAAGTAGACGAATATCGATCAGTGTTTTTTTCAACCAGAATATTAATTACATCGTGTTTCAAAAAGATTGAAAAAGTCCTAGTAATTTCATTTTCATCCACCTCGTGTGGTTTTGCTATAAGCACACTTTTGATATGTATTGTGCTCTTACATTTTAATATTTGAGAGTATAGGTGGTTCCTGTGCACTGTCACATATATACGATAGTCTGAAAGTGTCTTTCATTCTTTTGGCAGCTATGTTATAACTGACAGATCCTGAATAAAATTCGGTACCATTGGTAGCATTTCCACATCTCGCTTCTTACTGTAACAACAGAAGACAAGGGCGAAGCAACAGATCGTTTTATTATGAAAATCAACACGTATTTATACATATTTCAACTACATTATTATAGACAAGCGCAGTCATCTGATTGGTTGTTTATCAGAAGTTAGGTAGACAAACGCAGGCTTCTGATTGGTTGTTTCGGGATTCCTTGACAAATAGAGTTCTCTATCTGCGAATCATATTTTGCCACGTTAACTTTGCTGTGATTGGTTGTTGACTCAGCCTTGTTCATATTTTCTCACGGCCCATATTAGTGACCTAGACCTTAACGTAGATTAGTGCCAACCAATCGGCTAGCAGCCTGCTCTCACCACACTCGTCCCCCCGTCAAATAGCTTCGTGCGCAGACGTTCCGACCTTCTGGGTGCTACATCCTCTAGTTGAGGATTGTTACTGACCGGCTTGTCCCACTGTACCCATCTTTGGAGCTGACTGGCGTTAACTCGTTTCTGTTTATCACCTCTTCGGATGGTATATACTTGACCCCGTCTTTTTGTGATTGTGTATGGTCCTTCCCACTTTGGAAGGAGTTTCCGTGAACCTAGCCCGCCTCCAACTGTATATCTCCTGTCTCTACACTTCACTTGGTCCCCGACTGCAAAGGTAATGCACTGCGTCCTTTCTTTCATCTGAGACTTCATGACATCACTGCGCTGCTTCCGTATTACATTCTTGACTGCCTCTTTCCTCTCTGCTTTTAATTTCGTCGTACTCCACTTTTGGTGCATGGGCCAGGTCTCATTGTGTACCGGTAATCGTGGTTTTCTACCATACATCAGTTGGAAGGGTGACTTCTTCGTTGTTTCCTGAGTGGTAGCCCGATGTGTTAGTAAAATCAGTGGAAGCTCCGTTTCCCAGTTCCCGCCCTTCGAGGCCAGCCACTCCTTCAGTGTACGGTTGTTTCTCTCCGTTAGGCCATTCGTTTGTGGATGGTATGGGGTCGTTCTGATCCTCTTGATGCCCAGCTGTTGCAAACGGGAAGTAAACTCTTCACTCTCGAAACAGGGACCTTGGTCTGTCAGTATTGTCTTCGGTACGCCGTGGTCTGCAACAATGTGTCTAACTACTGCATCTGTCACGGTTCTTGCACGTTGGTCTGGGATTGCTACGGCGTCTACCCATCGTGTCGCGTGTTCCGTCATCACCAAGAGGTACTGATTACCATTGGATGTCTGAGGAAATGGACCCATGACATCTACGGACCACAAGTCACCTATCGCGGTAACTGGAATCGACTGAAGTGGTGGTCGTATACACCGGTCACCTTTCATCAGCTGGCACCGTGGACATCCAAGTACGTATCTTGCTACGTCTTCTCTCATACCTGGCCAGTACATACTTTGTCTTAGGAGATCGGTCGTTCTGGCCACGCCTGTATGCGCTAGCTGGTGACATTCTTCTATCATGTCGTGGCGCGACGATTGAGGTATGACAGCCAGCCAGCTTCCGTCGTTCTCTCGCCAGGTCAGAGTCCCGTAGGCATTCACTCTGAGTCGATCCCTCTGTCTGAGTAGTGTGGTTAGCTCCTTACTCGCCGTAGTTTGATCCACTTCTATTCCGTTGGTGATCACCTGTATTACTGTATTCAGCGTATCGTCCAACCTCTGCCTACGTGCAAGTCTTAGTGGGTCTTGTTCTACTGCATGCACTCCGTAAGCGACCTCGGGCAACTCAGACTCATCTTCTGGTCTCGATAACAAATCTGCCAAGACATTTTCACTTCCAGGAACGTGTGAGATCGTAAAATCGTACTCCTGAAGACGCAACATCCACCGTGACAACTTCCCCCGTGGGTCTCTCGCTGTCTTCAAAAATTGTAGCGGCTTATGATCAGTTTCGATGTGGAACCGCCGGCCGAGTAAATAAGGTCTCCATTTGTCGACTGCCCATACCATTGCTAAACATTCTTTCTCTATCGTTGAATACTTTCTCTCTGCGAGTGTCAAAACCCTACTGGCATACTCAACGATTCCCTCGTCCTGTCTTAGGACCGCACCTATAGCGTAGTCACTGGCATCTGTGCACACTGTGAACTGTCTTCCTGGCACAGGTAGTTTTAGCGTCATTTGTTGGTGGTCGAGCAGCTGTTTAATTCTGTCGAATGTCCTCTGCGATTCTTCCGACCAAACAAACTTTGGCTCACCTAGTAGCCTGTATAGAGGGGCTGCTATCTCATTGAAGTTCTTCACGAAGCGGCTATAAAACGCTGCTCTACCCAAGAATTGTCTCAGTTTTCTCTTTGAATTCGGGGCTGGAATCGTTTTAATCGTCAAAATTTTCTCCGGCAGTGGTTTAATCTCACCATTTCCCACTTTATGTCCCAACAGAGTAACATTCTTTTTGGCTATCTGGGACTTGGTTTTGTTGACGCGTAGTCCAAACTCTTCGATGCGTCGCAGCACGGCTTCTACATGGTTGACGTGATCGTTTTCGTTTTGACTGTATATGACGAGATCATCACCATAAACCTCCACGTTTTTCAAGTTCCTAAGTAATAGCTTCATCAGTCGTCTGAACGTAAACGGTGCACCTGCTAGTCCAAACGGCATGCGTTTAAATCGATATTGTGTCTGACCCACGATGAAAGCCGTCTTATCTCTATCACCTTGTTTTATCGGTATCTGCCAGTATCCTGAGCGAAGATCGAGAACCGAAAACACATTCGCACCTTGTAGGCGATCTAAAGTTTCTACCACTGTTGGCATGGCACACGGTCTTAACTCTGTCATACTGTTTAACTGTCGAAAATCAACACAGAATCTATACTTCCCATTCGCTTTTTTTACTAACAGCACTGGAGAGTTGTACGGGCTATCAGCTTCCTCAATAATGTCATCTTTTAACATCTCTTGCACTTGTCGCTCCACTTCGCCTTCCAGATGACATGGAACTCTTCGCGTTGTAAATGACCTTACTTTCGGATCACTTAACGGAATTTCATGATTCACCTTATCGCAATAACCGTATGGGTCGCCATCTCCAGTGAACAGATGATCGTATTTACTAATTAACTCTGTCACATTGTGTACCGTCGGCAGCTTAATCGCTGCTATCTCGCTGGTCTCATACATGTTGATATGCCCGTATTTCGTGACCACCACGTTCGCTTGCGTGTCGATTATGGCACCAATCTCACGCAGAAAATCCGCTCCTAATATCGTTCGCTGTAGTTCGGGTACAACAATGAAAGGAAACGTCACCTCGCAGCCACCAACAACGACCGTACAGTTCGATCTACCCGTGATACGCAACACATACCCGCCTACTGTTTGTACTGTCAATGAACACGGGCTAACACTCTTACATAAATTCTTATCTATTAACGACACGGCCGCCCCTGTATCTATCAAACATACTACTTCTCGATCATTCACTCGCAACTTCGAATACAGAGCCCTTTCTCAATAGCCCCCACTAAATCTAGGTTCATACGAAAGAAAGAACAAGCATTATACCGTCTGAAATTTTTTCTTTTTCGCCTTTCTGGGCAGTATCTTCTCCAGTGTCCCGGCTTACCGCATTCAAAACACCGGTCTTTTCTATCAGCCAACTTTAACGCCGCCACTTCCCGCTGCAATGCTTCAATTTTCTGCTCATATTCGTTTGGTTTTGGTTGGTCTATAGCGGCTACCGTTGTGCTCAGCAGCTGTCTGGTCACCTTCGCCAGCTCGCTAATATCCATCGGCTGCGTTGCGTTAACCAGTTGTAATCGCTGAGAAATGTGGTCTGGGACACTCTCGATGAATTGGGAAGACAGTAACTGCGCTTCTGATTCTTCATCTAAAGTGGGAAGCGCGCGTCGAAGTAGATTAGTCAGTTTCACCGCCAACACTAGCGGGTCTCCATCAGGTCCAAGCTTCATTGACCGGAACTGCTGCATTGCTAGCTGTCTGTCTGTTTCGCTGTCAAACTCGGACACTAGTCGTTCAACCAATTTCTTCCAAGACGCTGTGCCATTTGACCTGTCTACGCTGTCATATGCAGCCTTCGCTCGGCCTCTCAACAGCGTCCCCAAGACAACTGCCTTCGCTGCCTGCTCCTTGACACCCACCAGCTCAGCAACAGCCTCGAAGTCACGTAAGAAGCTCCTTATGTCTCCTTCTTCAAACGCAGCTGGCCACGGGATCTTCATTTTCTGGAGGCAGCGACACCAAATGTAACAACAGAAGACAAGGGCGAAGCAACAGATCGTTTTATTATGAAAATCAACACGTATTTATACATATTTCAACTACATTATTATAGACAAGCGCAGTCATCTGATTGGTTGTTTATCAGAAGTTAGGTAGACAAACGCAGGCTTCTGATTGGTTGTTTCGGGATTCCTTGACAAATAGAGTTCTCTATCTGCGAATCATATTTTGCCACGTTAACTTTGCTGTGATTGGTTGTTGACTCAGCCTTGTTCATATTTTCTCACGGCCCATATTAGTGACCTAGACCTTAACGTAGATTAGTGCCAACCAATCGGCTAGCAGCCTGCTCTCACCACATTACAAATATGTCAGTGACAAGGTGTTCTACAACATCTTTTGTGCTATAAACTTGTCAGTTAAGGGTCGAAGTAATTGGGTATAGATAGGACACATGCTGGAGAGACAGGCGGATAAAATCGCTGTCCAAGCCATCACCGGAGTGGAACCCGACTATGACATCCGGGAGTGACATGGAGGAGATCATACGAGGTTGATATTGAAAGCTTATGAAAAATTGTGGGGCTAGTAGAAGAGGACTGCAAAGAATAGGACAAAATGGGGATGTGCTATTGAAGCCATATGTTCCACTCGAAACCCAAGGGAACAATAATAATATTCTAGCAGCGACGCCATGTGTGTCTGGAGCACAGCGGTGGAATACTCGCCAACCACACAGGTGGTCCGGGTTCGATCCCCGGCCGGCGTACCGCTTTATCCTTTACCTAGCTAAGTCAATAAAAAGACTGGTGAGGAGGAAATTTTGGGCATAAGGCTAGCAATCTCATCCCATAAAAATAAATAACCGTAAACTCCAGGCCTCTAGCCCGAAGCCCCATGTTTCACTGGGAACGTTAAGGTACAAAAAATATCATCTAGGCTGCTAGTAATCACAGATGCTACCTCAAAAGACATGAAGAATACATTTACGTATCTTTAAACTCTTGATAAACTGTAAAGCACCTATCAATCTAAAACTAACTACTATCACACAGATGAGATTTTAAATTCTATACTATCAACAATGTTAACGACACAGAAATTTCAATATTGTTTAAAAAATTACTTCCAATAGGATACCGTTCTAGTTGTCACAATGAACTGTATGTACATACGCTGTATGTGAAATACTTTTAATGTTTGTTTGTATTTTTGTTTTAAATTTTAATTTAGGTAACCGAAGTAAGCAACCATCAAGGAATTCTTTACAAGATTATGGTGTTGTTAATTCAGATTTTACTGCACGGGCTTGTTCACCAAATATGCATTATCGTCAAGATCCTTATCAGTGTTATTCTACTAATCCTAGTTTAAATAAATCAGTTAATCGTTATGCCTTAGATGCTGTAGATCAGGTAAGCTATTCCAATAAAATATTTTATTTCATTTTATTTTAGTGTTTAGTATATACCTAGAATTTTGACGTTTAATCGTGAAATTGTCGGTATTAACAAGTGTTGATTTGCAGAAACTCTATTGGTGACCGGTTTGATTACAAGCTAAGATCACCTAGAGAGCTAGAGAAAATTAAGGAGTACTGGGCAGTTGTTTCATCCTAGTTTGAGATTCTTCAGCAGTACTCTCCCGCCGGACCTTCCAGTCACGAGACAAGCCACTGAGACCTCATTCAATGGCTAGTGAATTCCAATTTCTTCCTATTTGCGATATAAGTATAACATAACATCAGGCTAATGGCATGAGCGGTACTCTAACTGATGTCAGCTCAGGATGAAAACCAAAACCAATCAGATCCCTAAAAACCAACATTTGACAAATAAAATATGATGCTTGCGAGTGACTGGCTCTATACAGGAGCCCACCTGCAGTCGAAGTGAGAAGCCGTAACAAGCGCGACCCCCCAAGTCGGGCAAGAGAGCAGTTACTCGTTTATGACATTGGCTAATATTTTTTTATTTTTATTTAATTTTTGATTACAGCTTGATTCCACACTGTATTTTTGGTACAAGTATGGAATTTTCAGCGTGGATATCGGTAGCGCAAATTTCGCAGGCCGACCATAGATATCAGGTGTGCATCGGCGTGTGCTCGAACCCCGGACCATGTGCATGGTTGGCGAGAGTCCTAACCACTGTGCCACCGACGCACAGTAGTTGCGCTATCGCGAGTTGGAAGAAGCTGAAATTCATGGAACTCTGAATTGGGTGCTAGTGGCTTAATGGTCTTCTAGCTCGTCTTGTGACCGTCAGATCTTGGATTCGAATTCCAGTGGGTATACTGTGATGAGGAACCCCGAACTAGGAGAAAACAGCTGCCAAGTACTCCCTAGTTTTCACTGGTTCTCTAAATGTCAGCTCGCGATCAAGCCTTTGTTAGTACTGTCAATAAGACTTAGCGGTTACCGATACCTGTAATCTTTGTGTTGTTCCACCATGTTTCTGAAGCGAAACTGACCACAGCTAACTTCTGTAGGTAAACACTGACTTATTCCGCAACTCAGATTATGTAATACCGGTGTTAATTTCAGTTGGTCATTATAACGAGTACTGGTCATTAGTCTATAACTATTTTTTAAAGACAAAAATAGACAACAAGTCCTCCCTACAAATATGTAATATCAAAGTAAAAGTTCACTGTCGTATATGACAGTAACAATAAACGTAGTTAAGTTTGTCGATAAACTTATGTCAATGCACTTATGATCAGACAGCAACATTAATTACAACCACATGATGATCAATTCGTGTATATTTCCCAAATAAAGAAGATAAAAACAACCTTAATAATAATAATATAATAGTAATAATAGACTATTATTAATTATTATATCCTTTAATTCCTAGAGGAACATAGGGCTTCAGCTGCGCCTCTCTATTGCGTTCGGTTCTCTGCCAACTTTTTCAGCCCGCTCCAAGTCTGCCCACATGCTTTCATCTCCTTTTCACATCACCTCCTCCAAGTCACCTTCACACTGACGACCAACTCGCCGCTTCCCTTTCGGGTTTCACCCGAGCGATGGCTTGTCTAGTGATGTCACTTGATGGTTTCCTCAGAGTATGGCCAATCCATCTCCATTTTTTCCTGCCTACTTGTTTCACAATCGGTTCCTGGTTGGTTCGCTCCCAGAGATCTTTGTTGCTGATCTTTACTGGTCATCTGATCTTGAGTATTGAGCGAAGACAACTAGCTGTTAATGAAGGTCTGAAGTTTTTCGGAGATGCTCTTTATGACGCGCCAAGTCTCTGATCCGTATAGTAGCACTGACTTCACATTGGAGTTGAAAATCCGGATCTTATTTTTGATGGTGAGTGCTGTTGACCTCCACGCAGACTTAAGGGTAATGAAAGCCTGTCTTGCTTTTTTGATTCTGGCTTTGATATCCTCGTCAGTTCCGTTCGCCTGTAGTTGAAACGATGCTTCCCAGGTAGGTGAAGGAGGTTGTGTCTTTCAGGTTCCTCCCATTTATGCTGACTGTCGTCTGTTGTTGTTGGTGGTGGTGTTGACCAGGAATCTTCATCACCTCTGTTTTATCTACGTTCACTTGAAGTGAAGTCCTATCCTTCATGCTTATTGTGCCAACTTGCTGCTTTCACTTGCATATCTTCCAGTTTGTGGTAAATCAGACATATATCATCGGTGAAATGCAGATCCTCCAAGTCTCTTCTTGTGTGAGTTCATTTTATGCCTGTTTCCTCATTGCCCACTGTCTGTCACATTTTCCAATCTACTGCAATCAGGAAGATCATTGGCGATAGTAGACAGCCTTGCCTCACACTAACTGGTAACCTGTTTAGCACAAAATTTCCCACTGTTGATCGGAAATTATGGACAAAGTCCGTATTGAGCTCATTTAATGAGCTGATGCAACGCTGTGACAGTTGGACCCTAGAAATCAAAGGAAAATTGGTTAGAAGCTATGTCTGACCTAGAGTTCGTGCCTGTTGACATTCATTAGCAGAATATATCTGAAAACACGACAGAACTCTTGTTCCGCTGCAGATTGAAGGTCTAAATAACATTCTTGAAATTGATTACTGAGTAAATGGAGGGTTCAAATTCTCAAGGGAACATAAATTTCTTATTATACACCACGCTGCTAAGTGTAGTGAAGCATGAAATCTAGATTTAAGTCTTTTAACCGGTAAACTATCAAATAAAGTCAAATAGCCGCAAGGCATTAGTAACAAGAAACTGTGAAGTGTAACAAACCAACCAAACTAGCGATCGCTCAACAAATATGTAGGAGAAAGTGGAGATGTATTCAGCATACACTGAGGAAACCGTTGAATGACATCATGCGCAGTGCAGGTCATAACCGGAGTGGAACCCAAATGGCAGGCGATGAGTGGGTCGTCAGTACGACGGTGACGTGGAAGAGATCGTGTAAGGAAGAGATGACAGAGTTTAGGCAATTGTGGACTCAGCTGAAGAAGATGGCAGAAAATAAAAGAAACTGGAGATGTGTTGTTGAAGCCAGTCATATGTTTCACTCGGAGCCCAAGGAAATAATAATAATAATATCAAATAAAACACTTTAATATATTTTCCTTTTAAAATCAGCATTAACTATTCTATACACTTTTTTATACTACTTCTAGGGATCAATGAGCATGCATAAGGATAGATCTGAAAACTGCTTTTATGAAACATCTAAAGAAGACTTTTGTAACAATAAGTAAGTTATTTTACGAATAAGATTTTGTGAACTCTCTATTTCAATAATCTCTAACAATCAACCATATCCTTGACTACAGTGAAATGAATTGTAGTATGTCTTAAACATTGATGACGGTTTATTGATCAAAAGCTTCGTGATACTGGCTAAAGATACTTTAATGTCGAGCTCATATAATGCCACTTTAAACAATACTGCTTGTACTCTATAGAAATTTCACTGTATTAAATTTGAATGAGTTTGTAGTACTGTTTCACATAAAAGCTGTAGTAGCAAGTATATACATAGTGTTTTTTTGTCTGATTACTTCCTCCATATATTTTCCTACCTACAGTTCTAACTATGATCACCTTCAAGTCAAAACCAACAGCAAGGAAGGTAAATAGGATTGAACAGCTTTGGAAAGAAGGGATAATGCTACAATGTGAGGAAGAGTTCCAAGTGGGACATAGAACTTCAGTAGTGCATCCTCAATTCACTCTGTTGACTGTAGTCATTTTGAGTTGGCTTATCGATTGTTCATAGGCGCTCACCTCCTCCATTTTACCTTCGGATCCATGCCTAAATCATCCTTTCTCATTCGGGTTCCTTTTGAGGACTTGTCTGGCGTGTGATATCACTCAACGATCTTCCCATTATGTACAAGATCCACCACCATTTGCTTAGGAATAATTGTTGAGCAATAGGTTGTTTCATTGAACTGCGGAGTTCCATAGTGCTAATCTTTCCTGACCTTCAGTATGCAGCGAAGGCGAGTGCTGATGAAAGTATGCAGTAGTCTGTTGGAAATGTTTTATGTGATGCACACACATAGAATCTCTGACTTGACGTCAGTTTTCAAAATTCACATCTTGTTTCTTATGCTGAGAGTGGAGTAGATTTTCACACTAACTGCTGAGTAAAATGAACGCTTGTCTTATATTTCTCAGCCTGCATTTGACAACCTTATCCGTGCCTATTCTATCACTGGTATAAGAATAAAACTTGTGCAATGTGGTAGAGTGTAATTCCATTATGGGTAAATTTTGTTTTGATAACGTCTCACAGTGTTATACAGTAATGTTTAATGATGACATTTCGATCTTATTCTAGTTGAAATTATACTGTTTACGTGAGTCAGAGATAAATTTCTTTAAATTTCTCTGGTATATAGTGATTGTTGTTGTTGGGGTGGGACTAGTTATCTCCAACACTTATGTTCTCTCTAGATCCACTTAAATTCCTTTCACTGCTGCCTCTTGTGGCAACTTGTTGGTTTTTGATCGTAGACCTTCAGTTGGATGAGACACTAGACATATATCACCCGAAAAGTCTAAATATTTTAAAAGTAATTTGTGGGCTGTACCTCAGTAGCAAAGCGGTTAGGACGCTCACCGACCATGCATATAGTCAGGGTTCGATCCCCGGCCACAGACGCACTCCTTTACCTCGCTAAGGCAGAAGTAAAGCTGTTAAAGAGGAAAGGTGGGCCATGAGGCTAGCAACCCCATCCTGTAAACATTAACCCTGCTACCGAAACTTCAAACCTCTAGCTTGAAGCTATATGTTCCAATGGGATCGTGAAGGAACATATATATATATATATATAATTTATTATTATTGCTCCCTTGGATTCCTAGTAGAACATAGGGCTTCAACTGCACGTCTCCAAATACTCATGTGCCACAGGTTCCATCAATTTCCTTACTTATTTTCTTTTTTATCCGATTAAATACCAACAACAAGAAAAAGTTTATTCGTAAATTCAGTAAGATTGTGTTATTTCCCGAATATCTTGAAAATAACATAATTAATTGAAATATACCTGAATACACATGTCTAGTGTGGCATGTGATACTGATTAGATTTACCAGTAGTATATGGAGAGGATTTCATCAGCATAAAAATATCAAATAGAGGGGAGATAGATTTGACTTTAGAGGAAGCAAATGATTCAGCGTTACGGAGAAACATGGGAGACGTGAGAGGAGCATAAAAAAACACAATATGAAGGATTGATTGACTGGTTTCAACGTAGAACTTTGCACAGATGTGTAGCAGTTCGAGCTGTCATAATGTACAAAAGCAAGAAAAGAAAATGAAAAGAAATTCAAAACAGAGTTAATAAACGGAAATTTGAGGCAAAAAGAATAGTTATATGAAAAAACAATAGAATTTTACTGGATATTATAAATCATAAAGAGTGAATGCATCTGAGCCATCAATGAGAACAATTTCGAGCCATATTACCAGTTGTCTCCATCCACTGATTTTTACCAGCCCGAGGACCCCAACCACGAAGTCTACACCTCCTTAAGTGGCTGGCTTAAAACCAACTGTTGTGGATTTCATTGACTGGTGGGGTCACGTTTTGGTTTAGTCACCACTAGCCCTTTTCCAACCTGATCCTTACTATGTCAGCTAACATTGCCCATCAAAGAAGGCGATGTCTAGGCAGGCATGCGTAACACTTGTCCTAACCATCTAACCCAGTCGACGTGACTTCACAAACTCATTAAATGATTTCCTCTCCTTACCTAGCATTCGATCAAAGCCTAACCTTAGTATTGCTAACGTTATTATGCCACTTAACATGGGAGATAGAACGCAAACGCCTATAATTAAAGAAAGTTACCTTTTTACGTTTTCCACTTTCAATGGCTAGGTCTCACAGCCATAAAGGAGGACGCAGCAAACTGCTGAGCAGTCCACACGCTCTTTGATCGACAGCCGAATATCACGTCTACGCCAGAGATGAAGGATAGAAGTAGCACAACACGGAAGACATGTGCAAATGGTGCGTAGAAAAACAAGGTGTACATAATTTCGCTATATAGTGATACCGAATTCCAAATAAACATTCCTTTACTAAATCTCTGGTATCCTACGATCACACTGTAACTTTACTTTCTGAAAACTTATTTATCTAAAAACTGTTATAAGGAAAATTATATATACACTAAGAATAAAATTTTACTTTCAAATATTGGTTTGTAGGGATTTTTTTTTTGATTGGTTGGAGGATTTCATCATGAGCTGACATCAGTTACAGAACCAATGGAAAACCCATCTGGGAGCACTAGACAGATGTTTTATTGATATAAGTATTAATCATATCAAGTGATATCATTATGAGTAGCAATAGTTTGTGCTCGAAACGTCATCAGTTAATATAACTGTACAACACTGTGTGATTTATCGAAATAAAATCTTATCCATAATGGACTTAGACAGTTGTTTCGTCAGCCTAGTTTGGGACTCCTTATCAGTACGCACCACAACGCAGGATTCGAACCCACAACCTTCTGGTTGCGAGGCTATCGAGCTGGCTCATAGACCATTAAGCCACTGAGGACCCGATCCAATGACCAGCCCATAAATTCTAACTTCTGCCAATTCATGACATAACGCGACCACTTTGCAATGTCTTCTTCGATGAGTCACTGCCTCATTGTCAACCTGCTGCACTCTACTGGTCACGGCTTCCCACTAGAACCCCAGGTCACTGCCCGAATAGGGCCAGTCACTAGTGGGCATCACATGAATTTGCAAGTATTGGGTTTTTGTAAGGATTTCGTTTGATTGGTGAGAGGATTTTATCACAAGCTGACATCAGGTTTTCCAGTGGTTCTCTAACTGATGTCAGCTTAATGTCAGATATAATTATCAATGTATATAAAGAATAATTATATTCTAACTATTTTCATCTTTTTTCCTGATTTAGTTCTATTCCTGTCGGTGTATCTGGTACCTACTGCACAAGTCTACCATCATGTCAACTCTTACAGCCTATGTGTAATGGAGGCACTTACATTCCAAGTATAAATCATCGAATGTTATCCCCCGAACATTCATCTTTTCTAACTGGATGTCCAACATTATTACCAACCTCTGGCTTAATTCAAACACCACCACCAGATTTTATCCCTGAATCGATTAATCTACAATCGTGTGACAATAATAATTCAATAAGAAGTAATCATAATCATAGTAATAATAATAACAGCTATCTTTTCTCACCATCTAATAACCATTTACTAGCAAATCTTCCACAGATTACAACACTTGATTTAACCAATGGTATACCAGTGCATACATCCCGCATAGATTATGCTCTGGTGGTTCTCTGATTAGTGGTCAAAGTTCACTTGAGACTACATCATGTACACCTGTAAATTCACATTTATCCTCTCGAAGTACTCATAATTCAGTAATATCACCTGATCAACAGTCAATAACCACGAGTACGACGGCGACAACAAATCATTCAGATCATATGATGCCAAATAAAAATGACACATTACCTAATTCATCCCCTATATCTTATGGAATGAATACATCATCTATCCATGGAATAGCTTATTTAATTAATGATCATACAACAAATGTTTAAATATATATATATATATAAGTATCTTCAATGCATAACAGTATAGAAGTTGCTGTGCCTTAGCATAACCACTCCCCCGCCTAATAATAATAATTCCCTGTTAATATTGGCTTCCATTATTTCTCAATGCTGCCTAGTCGTATGTTAATGTGGTAAATGTTAACTTTTCTCACCTCTTTCTCTCTCTCTCTCTCTCTCTCTGTTTTATTGTCCCCTTTTCTTTTTCACTTCACTTTACAAAGTATCTCTCTTTTAATGTGTATAATTGTACTATGGGTATAAAGTCTTCCGTCACATATACTACACATATAAATATTGTTTTTTTTTAAATTAATGAAATGTCCTTTTTCACTGAATGTAATCACCAAAACTGTTGTCAAAGATGCTATATCACACCTTAATAAGCATGCGGATCACAACAAAAAAGATATCTGACTACTGCCACTCGAAATGAGATTACACGTTAAGTTATTCTAAACATCTGAAAACTGTATAAAACGAAACTACAGAGAAAAACAAAGGCTGACTCCCATTTTTTAAGAGTCAATGATAAGCAGAAATATAGGAGAAAATCGATAGGAAGGGACAAAAATGCAACTGAGTACTACATTTGAAGTAATTTGGTGGGGAGTAACTAGCAGCAGCAGCAACAGCAGTATCTAGGATACGCATTTCGTCTGACACGAGACTCATCAATCTGCATGTACCTGTTCTTGTGGGCCAAACGATGGGTATCGAATTCGAGCCTCAGTGGGAGCATCATCACTCACTGGGAAATGAGGGTATATCTGGATGAGGAGTCTAAAAAAAGGGACGAAATGAGTGAGCATCCAAGATTCGACTGCTAGTCATCATCCACTAAATAACTTCAAGTTAATCTTCAGATGTCGTTGAAGCATCCACACAAGGAGTCAGCATATTAATAGAGGCCGAACATTTTAGTTCAATCAATCAACTACTAGAAAATCAAAAGTGAATTAAAAACAAATGACTACTACATTATTGAGGTGTTTGACAATAGTGAACTTCTATCTAAAGGATTATTAAAGTAGACGGTTTGATAACAAATGAAATGAAAAAATGAACATGCATAAAATTGTATATTCGTAAGAATGATAACGTACTAAGGGAAAAAAAGCTAAATGCGTAAGATATTAAAATCAAAACAGATTAAATGGCATCATATTAATACATGTGTGTACAACTTATTATGCATTGGAAATTCAGGAAGGGGAGTCTCCAATGTTAGATTGCAACGTAAAAAGGAAAAAAGATGGGAAGTTAAACACTTGTGTTTACAGAAAACCCATACATTCAAACAGATATTTGGACTTCCGATCATCCCATCCTATGTCAGTAAAAATAGGATTGGTGAAATCTTCAAGTGACAGAGCGCAAAAACTAAGTAGTACCAAGGAAAATCTAAGACAGGAAGTGAGACATATAAGAGAAGCTTTGAAACTTAATAATTACCCTCATAAATTAGTCAGAACGTGTGTAGGGAAATGTAAAAATAAAATAAACAGTGATAGTAGTGATAGTGATAATAATAATAATAATAATAGTAATATTAGTGATTACATGCATGTCAAACATGAGCACGATGATGACAACACTAACAATAAGGAATCTAAATCATCAGTGGTAATTCCATAGAAGGAAGGAACTTCGGAAACCTTACGCAGAATTCTTAACAAGGCAGGAATAAAAGTGGCTGGCATTCAAGCCCACAAACTTAATTCAAAACAAGCTTTGACGGTTAAAGGATCCTATGGAGCCTTTAAAACAAAACAATTTAGTTTATCTAATACCCTGCTGGAATGATTGTCAGGTCAAATACATAGGTCCAACTAGTAGAACAAGGGCAGTCAGACTAGCCGAACATAAAAACCTAGAAACATATAGATTGGTTGACCCAAATAAGATAAGAAATCTAGAAAATAGTTCAGCCATAGCATTACATGCAGTCGTACACAACCATACAATAGAATGGGACAGGATGACAGTTTAAAAATCTAATGTCACAGAGTGGAGGGAGAGATTGATGACAGTGGAAGCTTTGTTTATCGAATCAACTGGAAATACAGGTAAAAGGAATGATTCATCACCTGTCCCTGATATCTGGAAAATTCTACTGCCCATACGACAAATAGGAGAAGACAAAGAAAACTATAAAACTCAAGTTTCAAAGTCGTGTGATTATAATTGATGGCATGATTATGAACAATAAATTGTTTTGGAAACTACGTGATCCAGTAAATAATACTGTTTCACTGTATGATACATCTAGTAAACAAACTAATATGGTATAAAGTGTCATCACCTTGAACTGTTCAGCTGTATAAAACTCATGTATTTTAAACTAAAGACTACCTAGATTCAGCAAGCTTTTGTTGTAATTGTAATATTACTCATAAACTAGGGGATCAATCCAGCTGGTAACCTTCAAAACATCATTCCTGTCCATCAAATAAGGCCTAAATGAATCACTCACTATGTAAATCATTATCTTCAAATATGTCTTGCTAGGTGCTACAGCCTACAATGGAATATTCATGCATAGTTGTTATCAGCACGAAGTTCATTTCATATCAACTACGTGGTGTAACAACAGAAGACAAGGGCCGGCAACAGATCGTTTTATTACGGAAATCAACACGTATTTATATACATTTCCTGTACATTATTATAGCTTATTCAAGTAGACAAACGCAGTCTTCTGATTGGTTGTTTCGGGTAACCTCGGAAAGTGGAGCCATCTATCTACGAATCATATTTTCCCACGTTCAGTCTGTTGTGATTGGTTGTTGAATCAGCCCTGTTCATATTTTCTCACGGCCAATACTAGTGACCTAGACATTGACGTAGATTAGTGTCTACCAATTGGCTAGCAGCCTGCTCTCACCACAGTAGTAGTTGATTAGTAGCGAAATACTAATTCATATGAATCCCAAAATGATACTGTTACTATATTTGTCCTTGATAATACATTTGTCATTTATTGAACGAATGAGTTATAGAAGTGACGTTAAATGCGGGAATATATGAAAGTGTCATGGAGGATTGAAATTAAAACTTGCTTAGATTTGCATATGTAGCGAGAAAAACCAACTTGGTTTGAAGATAATTTCGAACAATAGATACCGTGTTTGATAAAGCTCAATTTTGAATAAATATGCTGCTTTACTGGCTTAGAGAAGTGAACTTCATCTGAAGCACATCCGACTAATGGTGTAATCTAACCGAGTTGTTACTTCACAGAATGTCAACTTAAAATTGTAAGACTACAACAGGAAATATGTTATTTCTCAAGGATATATAGCTCATTTCATGAGACATCGTCTTACGTAAAGCCTTTGACTTACTAATTGTGATAGACAAATTCTTCCGAAGTAAGTTTAGTTGGTCGTTGATATCTGGATACAGTTCAAATGTTAATATGCATTATAAAGACACCACACTGTCACATAGGTATTTGAAACACCTCCAAGAATGTTACTTCGGTATTCCTTAGAGGAAGTCATAGAAAACTCAGTCAGTAGGCGATTAATTAAACAGTTTCACAATAACGAATATGATTCATCTTATAAATTGACATATAATCCATCGAATAATCGAAAGCTGTCATGAAGAACTGGCGTAAAGATTTAAGTTAAACAACAACTCCAGTAAAAGGGAGTCTAAAATAACTAATTCTGATCACTCTTACAGTGAGAACCATCTAATATATAGGTATAACATCTACATTACGGTACTAATGAATAAGCTCAAGAAAGCGAAAATCATGTACACAGAATCTAAAACAACTAACAGAAATCGACATTCAAACACTTTCAGTGAGGTTAGAAAATAAATCATATGCACCAATGTAATAGACTTAGATCTATGTCATCCGATATCTATAATCAATGAATTTCGATATCCTATCATAAGAACCACACCTAATTAGGTTGAATATTCCTAACTAAAATTTAGTGGGCTTTAACAAGTCTTATCATGTCTGTAAGTATTAGAGGAATCTTCCTAAACCTAATCACATTCTAAATATGGCACATTGGAGTTAGTGCTGACCCAATGTCTGGAAGTGTGCTTTTGGAAGTATGTGTGCGGTTGTTACTTCGCCGCTGCCCACACCGTGGAAGTTGATTCATTCTTCGGGTACGTGAAACAGAGACAGGGTTAGCGTTGCGTGACCGAAGAGCCCAGAGGACAACTGCTTGAAGCCGGTCACACACGACCTGTATGAGCTCGTTTCTTGGTTTGGTTCCGTATTAGTCAACTTACCGCCGGTTACGGACCACCGTAGGATAGGTCGGGGTGTACAATCTTCGGAGTCGACCTTTTCTAACCCCCCCCTCTCCAGAGTGGAGAGACAGCATAGGTGACTGGCATGCTAGTCATCTGAGGGAAACACCTCACTGCTGTTACACCTCTGTTCCCCAGCAGTACGACTTCGCCCTCAGACCCCCAGAATAGTGTAAGAAAGATTCTTACACTATTCCGGTAACTGCTTTTAGTCTAATCGCTATCCTAACAACCTTCCTGGCATGGTAGGACCTGCAGGAACATTGATTCCAGCCAGGGTAGCTTGTTGAGTCAACGCAATGTGCAAGCCCGAACACCACGTCAAGGTAGCAGCTATCGGTCAGGTGCCGATCCAATATTTACAATATGTCAGTTGACTCGCATATTTATTTTATTTCCACTCTCAGAATTACTTACTGAATGATAAGATCGAAGTCAAAGAATGATAAGAATGTATTAGAACTATTATATCCCAACCGCAGTGACCATATTCCACTATTACATTACACCTTAAATCTAACCTATTATCGTTCATACTTTATGACAATATATAAGGCATTGTATGTGTTATGTACTCATCGCCAAATTATTCCTGTGTACTGGTCGAGAATTTAATAGTCCTGACGCAAGAAAGACTGAAATCAGAAGACCACTAGGTTTGCGATGATACTTCTATTTTCCAAACACAAGGAGAATCA